TAGGTATTCTTCTTAAATTAGTTTTATTCTCAAAAGATACATAACATTTTAAAAAGTGTCGTTTGTTTATACTTTTCAGTGCCACCTTCTGTGTATGTATCATTCTTTTCTGGTCAGTTGTTTCGTCTACAGTCTTGAAGACTTTAGTCGATAAATTTCTTTGCAATATCATTCATAATCATGTCTGCAGATTATATGCCCAATTAAATTATATTTACTGCGAAAAATTTTTATTCTCATTGTGTCCTGTTTTGATTTGAATATATCTATTTGTTGTTAATATGGATTAATCAGTTAGCTAGTTAGATAGAAGAAGTGTAAGGTACTAAAATCTTGCTAAATTAGCTAGAAAGTCGTTTTGGTGATCCATGTCTCAAAGTTTTGACGAAACGTGGTTTTACCACCAATAAGGTGTTAGTTTTTAACTGATTTCTTATTGAAGATGCTATGCTTACGCTTTGACCTGGATAAGCACAGACAGAGACGTAAGAACTATTCCAATATTTCTTCTGCGAGTGTTCAAGAACATGATTTGCAATAGTCAGTATTGCATAAAATTTTTTTTAGATATCGGTGTGTGAAGGTTTTTTCAAAGCTCAAAGCATTTTGGATCTTAATAAATCAAAATATAGGTATAAAAATTTTTTAGATTTTTGTTAAAGGTATTTGAAAATATCTACTCCTGACCAGTTATAACCAAAGAAGGAAGGAGATGATGACCATGCAAAGAAAGACAGGTGATTGCGTTTCAGATCCAAAAATTAGAAAAATATATCCGCACTGGGTCTTCAAATACGGTCAGCGTGGAATATGCGTATTCGATATTCTTCTGATATTGAGACGTTTCATGTGATATTTTGTTCTTTTAGTTTTTAATGCATTTTAAAATATATATGTGTACAAATATGAATCTAAGTTAATATTAACTAAATAGTTATACTTATAGTTATGTGTATATATGTTTGACCTTCTTATTTATCTTATTATCTCAGGCACACAATTGCTTCTTTCAAATATTTTATTAACACTTCTTTTAAATATTTTATTAACACTTATTCTAAATATTTTATTAACACTTATTCTAAATATTTTAGTAACACTTATTTTAGTTAGTTTATTAAAGCTTGTTTGTTGTTTCAGAATCTTTGTTCAAATTTATTTCAGATGCTCTATTAAACAATATAAACCAATTTTATGACATTTTTCATTTTCTAAAATAGGTTACAAATTTTTATTTTTATGATTTATTGCTTTTTAATTAACAAAATAAATTCTTTTGGCATTTATTTATACTAAATTTATTGTCAAGATTTTATTGAATGTTTTGTGTGATATATGCGCGACTTTATGACGTGCGAAAATCTTTGATAAACTATAAAAAAACTAATTTACATCAACAAAATAAAGTGAACCAACATTTTTGTAGTTCCTCAAATTGATAAAACAAACGAACAAACGAACAAATGAACAAATGAAGAAAGATATCAAACTGAAAAATTTTTCATATAAATTACGAAAACATATTTACAATTAAAAAATAATAAAAAGAAATCAACTTTCCTTTTGCTTACAAATAAATTCACTTGGCAAGGCATTCGTAGACCAATGCTTCCATAAAAATTTAAAAAACTTTAACTTTAAGAAAAAAACCTTACATTTCCGTATTATTTCTCACGCTGTTCATGTTTTCAGTTTATTAAAATTAATATCAAAATATTTCGAAAAAAAAATCTAAATACATATATATAAAAACAATATGTATCTCATCTCGCATGCAATAATACCAAAAATAATGTAGGAAAAAATTCATATCATCAAATTCAAATTATTTATGGCCGTAAGTCATAAATCAGCAATTCGAAGTTTGCTGCTGGATTCAATTTGTATCTACAGCACCATAAAAACTAATTTCGAATATAGAAATAAGTTGTAATTTTTACTGTTACATCTGTTGTTAATATATTTCTTTTATTAATAAATAACTTTTTTTTTAACAAAACAAACCCTTCTATCGCAAGTTTACGTTGCAACTTTTTTTCCGCTACTTTGGTATGGTTTTGGTTTAAATGTAGTATTTTAAGTGTTTAATTATCCATTTTAACCCACTTAGTCACACTTCACTTCAGCTTAACACAAGTTATTAATTAACTCGAAACAAACAAATCTATTAAACACACGCTCTTCCCGACTTCCTTTCTGCAAATTGGATACAAAGTAAAATATGCATATCAATAAGCCATAGCGAAGTTTAATTCACAAATATACCATAGTTAGGCACAGTGTATCTTACAGATACTATATATTACGTTAGGTACAGTCAGGGTTAGAGCCCATTCAATATTTGTGAGACTTTTAAAATCAACTCGGAGCACAAAATAATTATTGTTCGTCTCATTTACTTTTAATGGACGTATCTAATCATTAATTGGATTTTTTTTAATTTATCAAGAAAGTAAATGAAAAACTATAATTAACTTTGAGAAAACGTAATTCATCCCTAGAGTCAATGTTAATACTTAACTTAGTTGGTAATATTTACCTTTTAAAAACTAATTATTTTTTTTTTGTATTTATAACAAATCTGACACTATTCCTTATAAGTCAAAACTTGAGTGATTTTTCAACTATACTTTGACAAAAAAAAACAATAAGTACTGCAAAACCATATAAGAGGTGTCTTTTATAATTTTCTGAAAAGAGTATGGTCTGGTCTGGTAAACAAAACAGTATATAACTCAGTTTGTACTCACCAAGTGAACAGAACTGGTCTAATAATCACAGAAAATATGAATAGCAACTTTCAAGAAATAAGGAATATAAAAAAAAGTCTACCTATAGGAAAAAGGCTTATGTTCATCTTTAAAATAAAAGACTTATAAAGAAAGTCTTATTTCTATTTTTATTTTATACAATTATCTATATAAACAACACCGACATTTAGAAGTTTATTCCGCTTCTTCCTCAAAGCGGATTATTATTACATTTCCTATTGGAAATATGTAAATCGGAATTTCTTTATAAATTTAGTATTAAATGTCAAGGAATCAACAATTAAAAAATAAATAATATGCAGCATAAAAACCAGAACCAATAAAGCTCATATAATCAGAATTACGTCTATTTTATAATATTTACTGCATCTTATTTATGAAATAATATATTATTTATTTTATTATTAATTGAATGGTATATGATTTATCATATACATTAATAAATGAAGAAAAAAAATTATTAGAGTGCATAAAGAAAAAAGCTTTCCGTACTTGATATTTTCAGCATATTCGACGAGGAACTAATGGATTGTCTTATGAAAAAGTAGTTCTAACACAGGTGCTCAAGGACTACCATATAGCTCAATATTCTTTCAATTCCTATATACTTATACAGTAGACCAATAATGTATCCAAGTTATATAGACTATAACTTTATTATATTCATGGTCGCTCCTATATTGTTATAATCTTAGAACATACAATATTACTTCCACATTTTTTTGGCTGATTTGTTTAATAATCACATATATATATGTATATATATATATACATAAGGTTTGAATCTTTGGCAAACCACGAAGAATTTTTAAGTGCGATGTTCTGAAGTTGACCAACATCCTCAAAAATAGTAAATCGGTACTACGTTGGACAATAACAAATCAAATGTAAGACATTTCATCGTACATTCCAAAATTGGTACACGAACAATTATAGTAAAAGGGAGATTTTAACTCATAGTTCCCTAATCGGTTGTGAGCCGTAAGCAAAGCTACCATAAGAGTAATATGTTATAAAGCATTCTCAATGAGAGTACTTGATGTTTTCTCAACAGAACGCGCCCAACTTGCATACATATGCCTACATAGTGTTGAGTCTTTCGATCTTTTATTAAAAGCACAGAATAAATTCGACAAATGTTAACTTGATGTTAACTAATTGCCCAGATTTTTAAGGTGTTCCTAATGATTATCTGAGGCACCCCGTTTGGCTAGCTCGCTTACCTTACAATTGTCGAAAATATCCCTATAAACGAAAAGTCAAAGTAGAAAAGTTTTAAACTGAATCGATATCTCGTTTTGAGATATGTGAGAATCAAAATCCGTCCTGGATGTAAACTGAACTGAAAAACCCGTCCTGTACTCAAACACTTTAGAACCGTTTGATTGACTGAGATATTTATATATATTAATTTATTTATATGTATTCTTATTAATATTACATATTATATATTTTATTGAGATTAAAATTACGTTTTAAAAATGAAGTGTCTTAATAAAGTGTGAAATGTTTATTAACTCCTTCTCTCTATTATTTCCATCAATTTAAGGTTAGAGTTGAAAATTCCAAACTGACTTAATGAGAGTTTCAAATTTCCAAAATTTTAGCTGCTTCTGATCTTTAATCCTAAAAATTGAATTAACTAAATTACTTCATTAAAATCATATAAAGTCTGAACAAAAACCAATTGCGAATTTTAAATCAAATTCAATCCAAGTATTCACTTTCAATTCACAATCATCGACACCTAACAAAAGCACAATTTATTATTAAATTTTCGAGCTTGATAATGGCGGTACGGGTGTGCGATGGCCCCAAGTTTACCGCTAGAAATGAAGCGGGAAGAATGTGGAAGGTGTTGGTAGTGTTTGGACACGTTCATATTGAACCAGAGCAAAATATAATTTAAAGTGAGTAATTTGAATAGCAAAGATAAAATTGCAAAAACCGAAACCATTGGTGCAAAGTGGCAACAACGTGACTTTGAGCCAAGACACCGACTGGCAGCTCAGCAGGTGCCTGAGTGGTGCAGCGGCAATTACGCTAATTTCAAGCAAGCAGCAAGCAGCAAACGGACAAACGGGCAATAGGCAACAGGCAACAAATAATAAGGAAAACGATTTTACTGTAGTAGAAATAATTTCGAAAAATTAAAAAGAAAAAAAAATAAATTAAAATTACAAACAAAAACAAATGCTAAACATCGCTTAAAAGGTTTTCAATGAAACAATGAAAAAGTTCGGGATTGAGCAGAAATATTTAGCATCATTACCCGCAGCGCAGCGCAGCTCAGCGCAGCATTGTAGTTATGTTACAGTGGCAATTGCAGTAAATTGTATTAAATTAAAATTTATTTTACCTTAAGTTTTAGCTAAAGACACACATTTTTGTCTTAGTCTGCAAAATGAAATTTTCATAAATTTTTATTTGAGGTATTGCGTACCGCGTAATTGCAACAAAGCTACCGGAAAGATTTACACATGTAGATTCGGTTAGACGACTTAATTGGTGGCTGCATGTGCTTAGACGCATGAAATAAACATAACAAATTTAATTTGAAATTATAAATTACGTTGCTAATAAGTACAAATTATAACCTTCAAGGTCTATATGGTCTAAGTGAGTTAAGTGAGCTAATTTAAGTTAAACTGTTTACTTGAAGATAAAGGTTAAAGCTTCAATTGCTGTCAATAAAAAAATAATTGCAGGAAATAAATGCAGGATAGATGGTTCAACAACTCAATTTTTATTGCCTTAATTTTGTTAATATTATTGCAAAAAAAAAAAGAAAAAATATATATTTTACCTCGCACAATTGGGTCAGTGAGTTCAACTTTCTCAGCCCATTGAGAGATATTCACCACACTTACGCCACACCGACATTAGTTTAGCATCATTAACTTTTTGCACATTTCTTGCAGAGCTAACTTTAAATGTACACGACAATTATTATTAGTTATTATTATCATTGCATAAAATTTAAATAAACTTCCATAAAAAAAAAACAAAAATATATATAAAAATATTAAATTTTAAACATTTTTATTAAAGCTTTAACTTTTTAAAATTGTTCGTTACAGAAACACATAACCTGCCTCTTCGTAATTGCTTTGTGTCTTAGCAATGCTTGCGCTGACGATGATAGTTCGAAAGAAACGAATGAAGTCATACCGCGTGAGGCCATACAAAAATTGGACTACTCGGTGAGACAAGCTTTATTACGTGCCATAGATAAATTAGAAAAAGAAGCAGCAACAGAAGAAATCCTAGAAGAAACCACTACCACAATACCAACCCTGGTGACCAGCATTGCCAGTACCATTTCAACCAACACCACACAAGCCAATGAAGAAGTACTGGAAGAAAGCACAAATGCCTCTGATGTGGTACCAACTGTACAATTCTACACTGCAGTTTTAGACGAGAAAAATGCTCCAGAACAATTATTATCCTCTTTCATAGATAGTTCAAAAATTTTTAAACAAACTAATAAAAAAGGCACACAAAATTTAGGTTCACCAACAGTTGTTGCTGATCTAGAAGCCACAGCTGAAGATAGTCGGCAAGCAGCACGCAGCGTTGGCACTGCTTTGCGTTCAAATGAAATATCGAGCGATAAAAATGCTGAAGTTAAATTTGAAATACGTAAAACTAAAAATAATTCAATAACCTCAAGTACTACTACTACAACTACAACAACACTACCGCGTACGACAAGGCGACGTCCTACTACTACGACTACGACAACGACAACTACCACCACACCACGTCCAACACACAATGAAGATGGTGAAAATATTGAATTGGTAGATAAGAACGATATACGCATACAGGAAGCGCCTCTTGTCACGGCCTTTACTGTAGACTTAGACGAACGTGGCTCAGCTAAAAAAGTTATCCCAATCGTACATCCTATTCCCACACCAACAGCAGAGACCACATTACGCAGTGCTGATATATTTTCAGTTCACACTGGTCCAACAATATCTAAGTTTAATGTTTTACCCGGGGGCCCACAAAGTGCTGCGTTAAGTTCAGCCCACAATTTGTTGTCAGCTCCATTGCCCACACAATCTACCCAAGTGACGACTGCAGCTAATATTTTACTCAACGCAATTCCAACATCAAGTTTTGAAGCTGTAAGTATTCATTCACTTATGTATATATCTAGCAATGTCAACTAAATTTTTGAACATCTTATCTTTAGCTCTTTTAACTTTTATATATTTTCTTCTCTTTCCTCTGCAAACTCTTTCCGTAAAACTTCCTTAATATACCATTTTTCTTGATCCAAAGTGTTCTTACCTTTTTCAGAGGCACAACTACAAATACGACTTATGTACGCATATGCAATAATTGGCATTAAATTAAAGAATATATTTTGAATAATCAAAATTATCAGACTTAAGACTTAGATTTAGACTCGGTCTCAATCGAACATACTATTAATAATTAAATTGAGCTGGTTTGAACTGGACAAAATACGTACCAGTCGGCTGCTTCAATTAAGGCGAAACCTGCTTATCACCAGTTAGTAATGACTTTTGTCATGGTTTTGGCTCTGCGGATGAATAGGAAACTGTGCTCCAACTCATCCGGCAGGGTTCATCTTGGGCTAGCAGAAGATCTAAAATCTGCAGGCCCCTTTTCTTACCGACCTAACAATATAGTTTTCCTGCAAAATTAGAGACAGAGAA